CACGTCATGGTGCTGGCACCTAGCGGCACGGTCAGCCTGGTCCTGCCCCTCATGGGAAGAGCTTGTGTCCATCTGCACTCCCCTGCAGCCTCAAGGAGGGTTTTAATGCCTGGCTTGGCCAAGAAAGCTTGGCCCCCCTCCCCGATGACTCACACAGCTCAGATTTTGTCTGCTTTCACCCCTCTAGTGCTTAGTGGAGCAAGGCTGGATGGGCACTGCAGTAGGTCCCCATTAGATACAGTCCTTGGCAGCAAAAGGGGAAAAAAGGAAAGGGTCTGCAGGCAGCCCGGCTTTCAGCGACTGCCCTGGGGCAGCAGCTTGCCCACCTCTGCCCTGGGGCAACATCGCAGAGGAACAGGGTCTGCCCTTCACCACCGTCACCTTCTGGGAGGGCTTTAGGCAGTGCCCGGAGAGCAGTGCTGCCAGCCCCACCGGCGCGAGCAGCGTTAAGAGACCGGAGACCAGCACAAACATAGAAGAAATCCACTGTTAGCAACAGCTCAAATGCAACAGGAGGTCTAAATCACCCACTGCTCTGAGGCACCTAATTGCTGATTTGAGCCTGTAAAGGCTTGTTTGCATGGTTTATTGGAGCCATTAGACTGAAATCCCAGACAACTGCTTATATCGGATTCAATTCAGGCCTAATGAGCTCACGGGTGCTCGCTGCTGGGGTCACAGGGACAGTCTCTTCTCCAGACACATCCTCCCCCAGCCTCCCCAGGCGTTAGGGTGTGTGGGGGGCAACCGCTCCCTTTGGAAAACAAGGAGGAAGATCCTGGATGTCCTCAGTGACAGGGTGAAATCTATGACTCACTCCCTGACAGTGCACAGGGGGGTTGTTAGCAGACACGGGCAAGGTCAAAACATTACTCCAGACAGCTAAGGCGTCCCTCTAATGCCTCTACCCTTCCTGGAGGTGTGAAGCAGGTAGCAGAGAAATGCCAGAAGTGCCCAGGGCAGCATCAGAGCAGCAGAAGTAAGACAGCAGCAGCCTTTGGCAGTTGAGGAGGAAAGGATCCTGGAGATAAGGGCATGCCTACCTTTGTGATTCATCGTCTTCAGGCACTGCTTGCTCTGGACGTCCCACAGCCGGACTGTTTCATCATGCGAGCCGGAAAGCAGCAGGCTGCCATCTGTGGAGACCGACAGACACGTCACCTGGTTCCTGGAATGGGGAAGAGGAAGTTTAAACTCAGGATGACCCGAGGACTGCCAAAAACTGGCGAGGTGGGCAGACGGGGGCGATGAAGTGTTTGGCAGGTATGTCTGGTCCCTCACCTGTGCCCTTTGAAGACCTTCCCGTTCTCCCGCTCTGTCTGGAAGGTCCGGTCTCTCTGGACCGGCTGTAGAAATGAAGGAAGGAAGGGAGAGGGTGGTTTAAATTCAGGACTGAAGCAATCAGGTTCATCACTGTGTCTGAAGAGGGCAGAGGAGATACAGGGGAACCCAGCCCTCCCATGCCCCAGCAGGTCACACCAGTCACACAGGTGGGGAGGTGACAGTAGCTCAGGTGCCACGTCAAGGCTCGGCCACATGACAGCAGCAACGAGCAGATCTGCAGCCCCACGCACTCACCCAGGCAAAGAGGTCAACCTGGAAGATGGATCCATCCATGCCGCCGCAGAACATGTGATACTCAGAGAGGTCAAGAGTCACAGCCATGATCCCCACATCGAAGAGGACGGAAAGCAGGAGCTCCCCAGATGAGATTTCCCAAAGCTGGAGTGAGAGGGTACAGGAGAATTAGGGGCTTAAACGTTAACAGTGGGATTGGAAGAAAACATTGCTGCTTATCAGCACCTGCCCAGCGCCAAGCTGGCAGCACGTACTGGCATCCCCTCCTTCCTGCAGATGGGGAAACCGAGTCCGAGGCATAACCACGGCAGAACCCAGGATCAGCCTCTTCAGGACCAGGAGACAAGTTTGCCAGGCAGCTCCGAAACAGCCTTTAACCCCCTCGCGTGCCCGTCCTGCCCCCCAAGGCAGCCCCCTCCCTGCAGGACAGGAGCAGCAGGCGGTGGGCGCTGGGCTCCAGCCTGCTCTGCTTCCTCCCCTTCGAGACTAAAGGATAGTAAGGGGAATCAGAGGAGCCGACCCCAACATTCCCCAGGAGAAGAGGGGCTGCAAAGCACGCAGAGGCCCAGCCAGAGGGCAGGTGCAGAGAAACTGCTGGTGTTTGGAAAGGCAAAGCCCATTAGGTCTGGCAGCTCTGAGTCATCACAGAGACAGCCAAGAAATTCAGCTACTGCAACCCTCACCGACAGCTCTTGCTGCAGCCCAGCAGAAGCTCTGCTTTAACCCTCTGGGGCCTGCGCACCTCTGGGACTCTCGTTCAGTGGGACTGAGCTGAGCCTTACCTTCGCTGTCTGGTCAAGGGAGGCTGTGGCAGCTCGTGCCAAGGGCCCTCCAAAGCCACAGCACAAGTCTGTGATGGGGAGGCTGTGTCGGGACCACACGTGGCGAGGGTCAGGGATCTGGGAGGGCTCTGCCTGCAGCACGCTGTAGGGGAGAACAGAGACAGGTTGGCACGGCAGGTCAGCAAGAGCAACGCTGCGGATGCCAGAGCGAAGCGGCTGTGAGGAGAGTTGGCCAAGGCTCTGCTTGCTCCAGGATGGCCCTGCTGGCTGCAAGGACCAAGCAGGACACAGAGGCTGTCAGCAGCCACAGCACGTGCGATACCGAGGACGAGGGCCACCACCGAGCTCCCCATCCCAGAGGGGAAAGAGACCTCCCCTGCCATTAGCAGGGAAAGGGCACAATCCACTCTGTGTCAAGCAGGGAAAAGAAGTCAGAGCCACATGCCACAGCTTGGGAAATTCAGATGAGACACTAGGAAAAAACTCTCTGGCAGCGAAGATAACGGTGGAACAGCCACCTAAGGAGGGCACACTCATCATCACCAGCAGTCTTTACAAACAGCTTAGACACGCAGGCTTAGGCAGAATTGATTCCGCCTCTGGGAAGTGGTGGCTGATCTCTTGTTCTAATATTCCTCGCCCAGATGCTCCCTGTCCCCCGTACAAATGGGCCGAGACCTCCCCGCAGGCCACCGTTACCTGTAAAGATTCCACACCAGGGCCAGGCAGTCCTTTGCCCCCGAGAGAAAGTGGCTGCTGTCATCAGTAAAGCAGAGGCATGTGAGGTCCTGGTAGTGTCGGTTCAAGATGGCTAAGAGGTTCCCGTTGGAGACCTAGAGCAAGAGAAAGGGCAGAAGAATATTAGGAAAAGAGCACCAAGATGCCCTGGAATACCGCAGCGCCCTGCCCTCAACAGCTGTGGGTGCAGCAGCACCTGCAGCTCCATCCCCAGCTGGGCATTGCTGTACCGGGCGTGAGCAGAGCGCAGAGTCCCCACGCCGTGGAGCTGTGCGGAACAGGGCGGTGGCAAACGGAGCGAAAAGGGAAGGTTGTGCTGACCACGCGAGCCCGTTTGCACCTCACCAACGGCAACTGACACAATCAAGGTGCAACCAGTACAACCATGCACACTTATGACTGAAGAGAAATAGAGCAGAAGACAGTTTGAAGAGGTCCTGCCGACGTTAACTGTGGAACCTAGTGATGCCAGTGCCGTTTCTCTGGTCGAGACACAAGCATGAAATAAAGATTTCCTGTTTACTGTTAATATTACTCTGATGGCTTCTTCCAACCTCCCACAACATCTAACGAGATGGCTGCGGGGGTTACGAAAGCCGCAGGAGGCTGCATGCCACCCGTTGCTGCTCTTCAGCACGGCTGCATGGTCTTGGGCCAATGGAGGCTTTAGGGTGGACAAGGAGATCCCTAAAGCCGGAGCTTTTCTTGCTGAAAGGCAACGCCACAGATAGGGAGGGAACTAAGGAGGCAGCGAGGGAGCCCTGTACAAAAGAACAGAATCGACTCCCTCTCGTCGTCTGAATTATGCCTAAAAATAAAACCAAACTGCAGTTCAACGGAGAAGAAGTGGTTTCACAGAGAAGGCACAAAACGAAGGCTCCTGGGCCCACTTCCAGCTCTACGATGGTTTCCATGCAGCCTCTCCAAGGTGCCTGTTCCCTCTGCCAAGGAGGACAGTGCCCTCACCCACTCCAGACAGACGCTCGGAAGCGTTTGCAAGGCAAGGCTAGCTGGGGGCAGACAGAAAGGGCCACATTCTGCAGATGAAGCAGAGCAGAGACCAGCTCAGAGCATCACGAGCGAGTAACTCCCACTTGCTGCAACCTCAGCCCAGCATTCCTTGTGAGGGCTTTTTCCCCCCCCCCAACATTGCCACAAGCACATTTTTTAAAGAAAAATCTGATTAATTAAGATAGAGCTGCCCACGTAACAAGCCTCAGAAACATCCCCCGGGACTATGAGCTTTCCAGGTTAGACATCTCGGCGTTTAATCCCAGGGCTCAGAACAAGCCTGGTTTTTTTATTTGCTTGGTGAAGTGCTTAGAACGTAGTGTAATCCCCACGTAAACACACCACTAATTAAAAATAGAAGGATGATGACCAGAGCACAGCAGTCTCTGCAGACATCTAGATCACAAGTCACATACAAATATTAGACTAAAACGTGGAAAAAGTGCGAAAGAAAAACTACGTCCCATGTTTCTGCTTTGAGGGAGCAACATCTGACCCCTGAGGCATCTGTAGCAGCTTGGAAAGAGAAGGAAAGAACAGATCTAAGCCTCACCCAGCACCTCCCACCACAATTCCTTTTCCTCCCTGCTTTGATGAGCTGCCCCACAGTCTGCATGCCCACAGAGGCAGCCAGCCCCAGCCTGAGGGGCAACACGGAGCCCAGACCGCACCAGCGACATACACGACCCAGCAAAGCCTTCGCCCCACTGCGGAGCCCAAAAAGTGTGGATTTACTGACACCTGACGGGACAGGAGCACTTGCTAACCGTACAGGATGCCAATCTCTACACCCCCATTCCCCGTGCCAGCTGGCAGCCCCCTTACCTCCCACAGGTAGATGCTCTCAGCAACCCCAGCCAAAATGTAGAGCCCGTTGGGAGAAGCTGTCAGGCAGGTTACCGGCCCAGGGCATATGATCTTCTGCTGGAGCTGGTCCTGGGGGCAGAATGAACACAGTGACCCTTCAGTAGGGGCTGGCGTACGGGAGGGAGAGAGAAACAAGACCCTGGTTCAGTTGAGACCCGGCCCGTGGGAGAAGAGGCAGCTCAGGCAGCGTCCGATGCGCTTTGAGTTGTGCCCTCAACCCACATCAGCACTGCCACGGTTCGGAGATTCAATGCCAAAGAGGAAAATGATGGAGGAGCACAGTCCACGCGTGCAAATCGCATCGAATTGCTCTGCATTTTGCTGGTTTTGTTGCAGTTGCTTTGTGTTTAGCCCTGCAGGGAAAAGGTAAATTCCCCTCCCTCCCTTCTCCATCCACAGAGCTCCAGCCACACGCAGCAGGAGGGGCACGGAAAGGCAAGGGATCTGGATGCCATTGTGCTCCACAGCCGGGAAACCTTGGAGATTCAGCAGAAAACAGGCTCAGAAGATTACAGCAAAATAACACTGATAAAAAATTAAAAAAAAGAGGATGCGAGCTCATAGCCTGGGAGAACAAGCAGCAGGTCTGCGAGCAGCTCCTCACAGGTCGGGGGAACTGGAAAAAAACAGACCCTGATCTGTGGCAGCGAAGGGGCTGCGTGTGCTGAAAGCCACGGGCTGCTGCTGCTCTCTGCTGAGGGGAACAACAGGGGATGGCAAAATTCCGGCTGTGTTTGCTGCTGTTCTGCCCTCATTTAAGCACAAGCGGGATGCAGCTAGCAGGAAGAGGAAGGGGTACGGCTGTGTAGGGACGGGTGAGGTTTGTCCAGCTGCGTTTACGCTTCCATTTTTGGCTGGAAGGCGCAGAGA